CTTTCTACTATGGTTACTATGTTAAATAAAAAGTGAGCATGCTTATATACAGAATCAAAAATAAAATTTAATAAAAAAGAAAAAAGCATGAAATATCTCCAGGTCACAGAAAACTAAAAAGTTAAACACAAAATTTGTTACATAACCAAATAAAATGTCTGAAAATAACTGATATGTGGAACTCAGTGAGTGGGTTTAATATCATATTAGAAATAATGTCCCAGGTTCAATGGCTCCCACCTGTAATCCCAGCACTTTAGGAGGCTGAGGTTGGTGGATCACTTAAGCCCAGAGGTTTGAGACTAGCCTGTGAAACGTGGCAAGACCTGGTCTCTACAAAAAAAAAAAAAAAAAAATTAGTCAAGTGTGGTGGTGTGTGTCTGTAGTCCCAGCTACTTGGGAGGATGAGGTGGGAGGATCACTTGAACCCAGGATACTGAGGCTGCTTGAATCCAGAAGACTAAGCCATGATTGCACCACTGCACTGCAGCTTCAGTGACAGAGTGAGACCTCGTCTCAAAAGAAACAAAAAATGTTAAAAAGAAATTATTTTAGTGACCTAAAGGAGAAATATCTGAGCCAAACATGGCACAGAGAGATAAAAAGAGAGAATATATTGATAAGAGGGTAAACGTGATGGCAGATGAATCAGATGGTCTAATATATGTTGAAGTGGAATTCCAGGAGATAGAATGAGAACATGTTTATTTGGAATCCCAGAGGAAAGGGAGAAAAATGATGAGGCACAGACAATATTTGAAAAGACATGGCTAATAATTTTCAGAAGATTGTGGAAACCCCAACCCACAGATTCATAAAGTCAAATAATTCCAAGTAGAATAAATACGTTTTAAAATTCACATTTAAATACATCATGGTAAAACTGCAGAACAAAAGACAAAGAAAAATCTCAAAAGCAGCCAGAGGAGAAAAGATGGATTATTTACTTATTCAACATCTCTTGTAACCTGCAGTACCCTACTTTTTATTCTAGCCAATTCTGGCAACACACTTCACACATTTGTAACCTAATAGGGTCTCACATCAACTCTAGCACCACAAGCTTTATTCCTTCTCTGTCAGGTTCTGTCTATCCCTGCATCTTGGCTGCCCGTGGAAACCTATTCTGCAGTTAGATATGCACAACTGAAAAGTACAAGGAGTTAACAAGCCAAGGGGGAACCTCTGACTAATGGCGGCTGGGAACCTTTCTTTTCCTTTGTGAGGCTAACTCTGAGGCATTTTCTGTTATTCTGTTGGACAATTTTAAGACGCATTTCACATGGCTTCTTGGAGGGGCTCAGCGAGATTGTGCTCTAGTGGGAAAAATTGTATCTCTCGTTTCCTAACCACTTTTCCTCGTCCTCCACTCTTATTTCCTGGTATCACCTCCAAAAATAAACTACAAGTACATTTCTGGTGAACCCAGGCTAAGATGCTTTCAAAGGAATAACAGGCAGAAAGATGGTTTTCTAACAGCAACAGTGGAGGTATGGAGCCAGTGAAAGAGTATCTTTAAAACACCAAGACAGAGAAACTACTAACTGGCAACTGAAGAGAGGAATATACAACAGGCAGAACAAACAGAAAGCAAATCTAAGAATATATTGTGCCTGTATTAGATGAAAATGAACTTAATGCTCTAATTAAAGACACAAAATTCCAGTCAAGATAAAAAAAAAAAAAAACAACCTCAACTTTATAGTGTTTATAAGACACACGTTAGAAATGTAAGCCTGGTTTGAGTTGGTGTTTTAAAAAAAACTGTAAGGATACAGGAAACTGAAAGTGAAAGCAGAAAGAATGTATACCCACATACAAATATTCATCCCCCCAAACCTGGTCTAGCTATATCAGAAAAACACATTGTAAAACAAAGCATTTATAAAGATAAAGGTGGTCATCACTTTGCTTTGTTTCATCATTGTGGATAATTGATCAAACTGTAGTTTCAAAATAATCCCCTCAAACTGCTCATTTGGAAAAAACAAACAAACCCTGATTTGGTTATTGGAGGCAGTGACACCTAACTATTTCCTCTAAAGTTGATTACAAAATGAAACAATTGGTTGCTTATCCTTTTGATTTATCAATCTGTCCCTTGTGAATTTGATTACCATGAGATAGGATAATATACTATTAAAAAATCAGATAGCTCTTGACTCACTCATATGTAAACAATCCTGTAAGAAATTAACATTCAGCTAACTCCTCATTTTAGATTTTTCTTCAGTACGTTTTAATTGCAACAAGACAAAATCTAAATCTTGAAAGAGGTACATTTGTAACAAAAAGAAAGGATTTATTTATTCACTGTGTTGCACCTTTAGAAAATTCATTTGTCTCCAAGTGATAAAGAATTCAATAAGTGATTAGCCAGATTTTTGATATGGATGCTGAAGGAACATCTCTAAAGCACCTTAATGGTCAGCCTCTTCATGAAAAATGAGGTTAATAGAAAATAGGCCCTATATACCAATAACAGACAAGCAGAGAGCCAAATCATGAGTAAATTCCCATTCACAATTGCTACACAGAAAATAAAATACCTAGGACTACAACTTATAAGGAACATGAAGGACCTCTTCAAGGAGAACTACAAACTACTGCTAAAGGAAATAAGAGAGGACACAAACAAATGGAAAAAAAATTCCATGTTCATGGATAGGAAAAATCAGTATCATGAAAATGGCCATACTGCCCAAAGTAATTTATAGATTCCATGCTATCTCCATCAAGCTACCACTGACTTTCTTCATAGAACTAGAAAAAACTTCTTTAAATTTTATATGGAACCAAAAAAGAGCCTGAATAGCCAAGACGATCCTAAGCAAAATGAACAAAGCTGGAGGCATAATGTTACCTGACTTCAAACTATACTTCAAGGCTACAGTAACCAAAACAGCATGGTACTGTACCAAAACAGAGACATAGACCAATAGAACAGAAAAGAGGCCTCACTGGCTGGGCATGGTGGCTCATGCCTGTAATCCCAGCAATTTGGGAGGCCGAGGTGGGTGAATCACCTGAGGTCAGAACTTTGAGACCAGCCTGGTCAACATAGTGAAATCCTGTCTCTACTAAAAATACAAAAAATTAGCTGGTGTGGTGGCACATGCCTGTAATCCCAGCTACTCAAGACAGTAGCTTGAACCCAGGAGGTGGAGGTTACAGTGAGATGAGATCATGCCATTGCACTCCGGCTTGCGAAACAAGAGCAAAATGCTGTCTCAAAAAGAAAGAAAGAAAGAAAAAGGCCTCAGAAATAACACCACATATCTACAACCATCTGCTCTTTGACAAACTGACAAAAACAAGCAATGGGGAAAGGCTTCCCTATTTAACAAATGATGCTGGAAAAACTGGCTAGCCATATTCAGAAAACAGAAACTGGTCCCCTTCCTTACATCTTATACAAACATTAACTCAAGATGGATTAAAGGCTTAAACATAAAACCTGAAACCATAAAAACCCTAGAAGAAAGCCTAAGCAATGCCATTGAGGACATAGGCATGGGCAAAGACTTCATGACTAAAACAGTGAAAGCAATGGCAGCAAAAACCAAAATTGACAAATGGGATCTAATTAAACTAAAGAGCTTCTGCTCAGCAAAATAAACTAACATCAGAATGAACAGGCAACCTACAGAATGGGAGAAAATTTTTGCCATCTACACATCTGACAAAGGGCTAATATCCAGAATCTACAAGAAAACAAATTTATAAGAAAAAAATCTACAAGAAAACAAATTTATAAGAAAAAAACAAACAGCCCCATCAAAAAGTGGGCAAAGGATATGAACAGACACTTCTCAAAAGAAGACATTTATGCTGCCAGCAAACATGATAAAAAGCTCATCATCACTGATCATTAGAGAAATGCAAATCAAAACCATAACAAGATACCATCTCACACCAGTTAGAATGGCGATCATTAAAAGGTCTGGAAACAACAGATGCTGGTGAGGATGCAGAGAAATAGAAACCCTCTTACACTGTTAGTGGTAGTGTAAATTAGTTCAACCATTGTGGAAGACAGTGTGGCAATTCCTCAAGGACCTAGAACCAGAAATACCATTTGACCCAGAAATCCCATTACTGGCTATATACCCAAAGGATTATAAATCATGCTATCATAAAGACACATGCACACGTATGTTTATTACAGCACTGTTTACAAAAGTAAAGACTTGGAACCAATCCAAATGCCCATCAATGATAGACTGGATAAAGAAAATGTGGCACATACACATCATGGAATACTATGTGGCCATAAAAAAGACTGAGTTCATGTCCTTTTCAGGGACATGGATGAAGCTGGGAACCATCATTCTCAGTAAACTAACACAGGAACAGAAAGCCAAACACCACATGTTCTTACTCATGAGTGGGAGTTGAACGATGAGAACACAGGACACAGGGAGGGGAACATCACACACTGGGGCCTGTCAGGGGGTGGGAAAAAGGGGAGAGAGGGCATTCAGACAAATAACTAATGCATATGGGGCTTAAAACCTAGATGATGGGTTGATAGGTGCAGCACACCACCATGGCACATGTATACCTATGTAACAAACCTGCATGTTCTGTCCATGTATCCAATAACTTACAGTAAAATTTAAAAATAAATAAAAATAAATTTAGAAAAAGAAAATATGAAGAATGTTCAAAGTTCTAAAGAAAGGTTTATGATTGTAGAGATCAAGCATAAGTTCAAAACCACTATAATGGCTGAACTAAAAGAGATCATGAAAGTGGATTTAGTTAGATCTGGGCAGCTTAAAATCTTGTCCATTGATTACAAATTATTCATAGTCCTTACAAAAGAAAGGCAGCATATAATCCTTTGGGTATACACCCAGTAATGGGATTTCTGGGTCAAATGGTATTTCTGGTTCTAGATCCTTGAGGACTTGCCACACTGTCTTCCGCAATGACTGAATTAATTTGCACTCCCACCAACAGTTTTTATCTACGACGACAGTAATGTTTCTACCTACTATTGAAGGTTCTTTTGCACTCCCGTCCAACTCTTCAGTAGCTGCATTTTCTGGATCATATGCCCACACAATGATAGACTAGAAAATAAAATTTGTTTGCATTTCTTCACATTTTGTACAAATTTCATTTTTAGTTGTGGCAAAACATAACCATAAACATGTTTTTATTTATTTTGAAATTTTTGATTATCCCACTTTTAAAAATAAAAAGCAACAGTGCTTTACATAAGAGAAGGATGTCCACCAAAGGACATATGAAGAAAGAATTAATACAATCCCTGTACACCCCTTAAGTAGGTAATGTTTACATGTCTTATGAATACTTATCTTTTTTTTGAGATGGAGTTTTGCTTTTGTTTCCCAGGCTGGAGTACAGTGGTGCAATCTCAGTTCATTGCAACCTCCACCTCCCGAATTCATGCAATTCTCCTGCCTCAGTCTCCTGAGTAGCTGGGATTACAGGCACCCATCACCACACCTGGCTGATTTTTGTATTTTTAGTAGAGACAAGGTTTCACCAGGTTGGTCAGGCTGGTTTTGAACTCCTGACCTCAGGTGATCTGCCCGCCTTGGCCTTCGAAAGTGCTGGGATTACAGGCATGAGTCACCATACCTGGCCCATCTTTCTTTATACCCATACATAGGCACAGCAACCTCACCCCCACTCACATGCTTTTTATAAAAATGAAATCACCCTATACATGTTACTTGTAAGTTAATATTTGTCACTTGATGCAAGGCTAGTTCAATAGATATAGAACTGTTTTCTTTCTTATTTTTTCTTGAGTATTTATTAATATAGGTAAACATTATATTAAAAATACAGCAAAAGCTGTCTCTTGCACCCTGTACACCAACACTCAATTCCCATAAATCCATCTGCACCCCAGAGGTAACTATTAGTAAGTTCTTGTTTAGATTCCTATAAAATGTTTGTGTATAACCAAGACATATTATTTTCATCCCTTCTACACAAATGCTAGCATGCTAAACATATTTTTTCCAAATCTTCTGCTCTTCATCTAAAGTTATTTTAGAGATCTTTACATATTTTCATTGATCTTTCAGTTGGACATTATTCCAAATTATGGAGGAACTACAATTTATTTAACCAGTAACCTACTAAACATTTGTTTCTAATCTCTTGCCATTATAATCAATCAATGCTACAATGAGCAACTTTGTACAACTTTGAGCATATTGGTAGGGCACATTCCTAAAAGTATAATTGTTGAGTCATGGGGTAAATGCATTGTAATTTTCATAGATCCTGGTAAACTGCTTTCTGCAGCAGTTGCACCAATATGCCCTCTCAGTAGCAATATATGAGAATTCGTCTTTCCTTATGTTCTTTCCCAACATCATGTTTTGCATACATTTGATTATTGCCAGTCTGATGGGTGAAAAATGGTACCGTGGTATAGTTTTTTTAAATTAATTTTTATTTATTTATTTTTATTTGAGATGAAGTTTTCCTCTGTCGCCAGGGTGGAGTGCAATGGTGCAATCTCAGCTCACTGCAACCTCCACCTCTCGGGTTCAAGCAATTCTCCTGCCTCAGCTTCCCGAGTAGCTGGGATTACAGGCACCCGCCACCACGCCCACCTATTTTTTGTATTTTTAGTAGGGACGGGGTTTCTCCATGTTGGCCAGGCTGGTCTCAATCTCTTGACCTCGTAATCCACACACCTCCGCCTTCCAAAGTGCTAGGATTACAGTCATGAGGCACTGTGCCTGCCCAAACACCATTTTTTATTTGACAACGTTGGATACTTCTTTTTACTACTTTATTCAGAATTTTTGCATGTATTTCAAATATAAGAGATGTTAACATTTTTTGGAACCATGTCAGGTTTTTGGTTTTAAAGTTACGCTGGATTTATAAATTGAATGTGGAACTTCCTATAATGTTTGCAATGGGCCATAATAGTTTAAATAATAATGATAGGGACTTTATCTTGTTCATTACTGTGTGCCCAGCACCTAGGCTAGAGCTAACAGAGATTAGATATTCAGAGATATGTTGAATGTTGAAACATCATCAGCATCATTTGATCTTTAAAGGTTAGCAGGATCTTATATGAAACCATTTGGTCCTGGTGCCTTTTAAAATATTAATAGTGAAATCACCTTTCCAATCTCTTTTGTGGAGCTTGGCCTTGTCAAGTGCTCTACTTCTTTGGCCAAGTCTGTTAATACATACTGCTAGGGAAATCTTCCATCTATATTTAAAAAATCATTGCTGAAGAGTTGCATGTAGTATATCTTTTCCATGTCTGTGATTGTATCTCCTTCCTCATTCTTAATCTTGTGTATTTTTCTTTAATTAGTCTTTTGAGAGGTTTATTTTACTCGTCCTTTCAAAGACAGTTTTTGCATATATTTAACCTTTGTATTATTTTATTAACTTTAACTTTTATGTTTAATCATCTGTTCGTTTTGGTTTATTTTCATTGTTCCTTTCATAATTCCTTAAGAACTAGTGTTTTTAAATTTAGTTTATTTATTATTGCCATTTTTGAGACAGGGTCTCACTGTCACCCAGGCTGGAGTGCAGTGACATGATCATAGTTCACTGCAGCCTTGACCTCCTGGGTACAAGCAATCCTCCTGCCTTGGCCTCCCAAGGTGCTTTGATTACAGGCATGAGCCACCACATCCAGTCAGTTTATTTTATTCTATTTTTTTTTTTACTTTAAAATTCCTTAGAACTATAGTTTTGTGTCTAAGAGTGGCTGAAATATATAGCCTTTGATATAAAATGTTCAAATTTCAATCCATTTCTATATCTGTATAAATTTTTCCATGACCTTAGTGCAGTGCAGTCATAAAGAATATAGGCTTTTTGGCCAGGCATGGTGGTTCACGTCTGTAATCCCAGCACTTTGGAAGGTCAAGGCGGTCGATCACTTGAGCCCAGGAGTTCGAGACCCGCCTGGGCAACACAGAGAAACCTCATCTCTACTAAAAATGGAAGAATTAGCTGGGCACGCTGGTGCCTGCCTGTAGTCTCAGCTACTTGATTGGCTGAGGTGAGAGGATCACCTGAGCCCATGATACAGAGGTTGCAGCGAGCTGAGATTGTACCATGCCACTCAACTCCAGCCTGGGCCCTGTCTCAAAAACAAAACAAAACAAAACAAAGCATATATATAGGGTTTTAATGTTTGTCTTCTTTTTTTAACCTTTTTTTTCAGATTTATGCATATTGTACATTTCAGCAGTACATTCCTTTTTATTGCTAACTAGTATTTCATTCTCTTAACATACCACAGTTCACCTCTTAATAGACATTTGGATTGTTACAAGGTTTTGACTTGCAAATAAAGCTGCTATGAAATTCACTTATGTCTTTTTGCGGGCATGTTTTTATTTCTTTTCAGTAAATACCTAGGAATGGAGTTGGTAGGTCATATGGTTTATTTTTAGAAGAACTGGCCGTTATCCAATGTGGTAGTTACATTTTACATACTCATCAGCAATTTATAAAATTTAATTGCTTCATCTCCTTGATGATATTTGGTATCAGCTTTTTCAATCTTTTTTTTTGAGACAGGGTCTGGCTCTGTTGCCCAGGCGGGAATGCACTGGCACAATCTCAACTCAATACAACTTCCACCTCCTTAAAGACTTTTTACATAGTTTAAACCTTCTACTTTTCTATATAAACTTTCGAACTGGGTTGTCATTTTCTATAAAAAACCTTTCGGGGTTCTGTTTGGGACTGCAGTGACTATAAGTTAGTTTGGGGGAAAACTGACATTTTAACAACATTGACTCTTGATCCGTGAACATTTGTTTTGGTCTTCTTTGAATTTTCTTAGTAATGTTTTATAATTTTCAATTTACAGGTCAGACACATACATTATTAAAATTTCTCAAAGTGGCCAGGCACAGTGGCTCATGCCTGAATCTCAGCACTTCAGGCATGGAGGCCAAGGTGGGCGGGTCACCTGAGGTCAGCAGTTCAAGACCAACCTGGCCAACATGGTGAAACCACATCTTTGCTAAAAATACAAAAAATTAGCTGGGTGTGGTGGCATGCACCTGTAATTCTAGCTATGCAGGGGACTGAGGCAGGAGAATCGCTTGAACTTGGGAGGCAGAGTTTGCAGTGAGTCGATATAGCACCACTGCACTCCAGCCTGGGTGACAGAGTGAGACACAGTCTCAAAGAATGAAATAAAATAAAATAAAATAAATTTCTCAAAGTATGTAATGTACTTGATGCTACTATAAGTGATATTTAAAAATGTTATTTTCTAATTGCTTATGGCTAATATTTTAAAATACAATTATTTTTTCTTCATTATAAGTCTTGTTCTATTTGACTTAAAATGTTTTTCTTATGTTTTATTTCCATGGGCACACAGTAGTTGTATCTATATAGAGGGTACATGAAATGCTTCGATACAGGCATGTAATGTGACATGATCACACCATGGAGAATGGGGTATCCTTCTCCTGAAGAATTTATCCTTTGTGTTACTGTTTCAGCTATTTTAAAACGCACAATTAAATTATTATTGACTATAGTCACCCTGTTGTGCTATCAAATAGGAGGCCTCAGTCATTCTAACTATTTTTTTATACTCATTAACTATTCCTCCTTCTCCCAACCCCCACTACCCTTCCCACACTCTGGTAACCATCCTTCTACTGTCTATGTCTATCATTTGATTTGACTTTTAGATCCCACAAATGAGTGGGAACATGCAATGTTTGTCTTTCTGTGCCTGGCTTGTGTCACTTAACACCAAGATTTGCAGCTCCATCCATGTTGTTGCAAATGGTAGGATCTCATTCTTTTTAAAGGCTGGATAGTACTTCATTGTGTATATGTACCATATTTTCTTTATCTATTCACTTGTTGATAAAAATTTAGGTTGCATCCTGGCTATTACGCATGGTGCTATAATAAACATGCATTAAACAGATATCTCTTAGATATACTGATTTCATTTCTTGTGGGTATATATACAGCAGTGGCATTTCTGGATCATATGGTAGCTTTATTTTTAGGGGTTTTTAAAAATTTTTTTATTGCATTTTAGGTTTGGGGGTACATGTGAAGAACATGCAAGATTGTTGCATAGGTACACACATGGCAGTGTGATTTGCTGCCTTCCTCCCCATCACCTATATATTTTTTTGAGACAGAGTCTCACTTTGTGACCAGGCTTGAGTGCAGTGGCGCAATCTTGGCTCACTGCAACCTCCAGCTCCCTGGTTCAAGCAATTCTCCTGCCTCAGCCCCTGAAGTAGCTGGGACTATAGGCGTGCACCACCACGCCCAGCTAATTTTTGTATTTTTTTAGTGCAGACAGGGTTTCACTATGTTGGCCAGGATAGTCTCAATCTCTTGATCTCGTGATTTACCTGCCCCGGCCTCCCAAAGTGCTGAGATTACAGGCGTGAGCCACTGCACCTGGCCTATTTTTAGTTTTTTGAGGAACCTCCAAGCTGTTCTCCACAGTGGTTGTACTAATTTACACTCCTACCAACAGTGTACATGGGTTCCCTTTTCTAAACATTCTCATCAGCATTTGTTATTGCCTGTCTTCTGATTAGCCATTTTAACTGGGGTGGGATAATATCTCATTGTAGTTTCTTTTTCTGTTTGTTTGCTTTCTTTATGTTTTGTTTTTTGAGACAGGGTCTCACTGTGTCACCCAGTCCAGAGGGCAGTGGTGCAATCTTGGCTCACTGCAACCTCTGCCTCCCAGGCTCAAATGATCCTCCTGCCTTAGCCTCCTGAGTAGCTGGGATTACAGGTGTGTGCCACCACACCAGCTAATTTTTGTATTTTTAGTAGAAACAGGGTTTCACCATGTTGGCCAGGCTGGTCTTGAACTCCTGATCTCAAATGATTGCCCACCTTGGCTTCTGAAAGTGCTGGAATTATAGGTGTGAACCACTGCTCCCAAGCCTTATGAACATACCTTGTTTTTGTTTCTGTTCCTTCTTTTATCCTTTGACTGTTTTAAATATGAACTAAGTAATATTTTAAATGAATCTTGTATTTCATTTTGAGTAGTATGAACTGTCTCCATTTTTGCACATCTATTCCAGGCAGTTTGTTTCTTTGTGGTCTACACCTTTTGTTGTGAAGTTATTATAGAGTTTGTTTTCTATAAGAATCCTGTAAACTCTTTATTATGGGTTTTGCAATCACTTCTGCCTGGGATCTAAATGTTTGACTGCTTGCAAAGTTCTATTTGTATTTATTTATTGGCTGTAGGTTCTTCATCCTCTTGGGCTGTGAAATTAGGATGTTTACCTGAAATCTGGGAAATCCCTTATCTGTTTACAGCCCCCAAAATAGGTGTATCATTTCTTTGCAATTATCCTAAGCCAGTGAGTAGAGGTTTACCAGTCCCCATTTTACAGACAGTTATAAATTTTAAAGACTTTTTTTTTCTTTTGAGACAGAGTCTTGCTCTGTTGCCAAGCTGGAGCGCAGTGGCATGATCTTGGCTCACTGCAACCTCCAACTTCCTGGTTTGGGTGATTCTCTGGCCTCAGCCTCCAGAGTAGCTGGGATTACAGGCGCAAGCCACCATGCCCAACTAATTTTTGTATTTTTATCAGAGATGGGGCTTCACCATGTTGGCCAGCATGGTCTTGATCTCCTGATCTTGTGATCCACCCGCCTTGGCCTCCCAAAGTGCTGGGATTACAAGTATGAGCTGTTACACCTGGCCAAGACATTTTCTAAATCCTAACTTCATACAGGGAGATTAGTTTCAGCTCCCTTTACTCCTATAGGCTGAAACTTTCATTCCCTAGTCCCATAAAATCATGAAAATACCACTCCTTTGCCACTAGGGATCATATTCTGTTCTAATTCAATCTTGTAACTCTGGCTTTGAGTGCCTTAATTATTTCTGACCATCAGGAAATTCCTTTTCTGTCTTTTAAATTCCATATGCACACATGCACTTGTATTAATGTAAAGATCTGTGAGTGTGTGTACTAGCAGTATATACACATATATTTTCTATAGGCATTTCTATGTGTTTTGAGTGAGAAGGAGTTTTTAATGCATTGAGTCCATAATATATATTCTACTTCTGTAAGTTCTCCTGTATTTTCTATATATCTTAAAATTCCTTAATTACTGATAATATTACTTCTTGCTTTTGAGCATTGTTATAATTGTAGCCTCAAAAGATAATTCAATAATATCAATGGGATTTGCAGTAGTAGTAGTTATGGGCACATGAGCTCACTCAATCATCTTGATCCACTATACACAGTTTATCTTTTTCTACTACTACTTTTTTTTCCCCAGTAAACTGTCGCTTTTAGAGACATATTATCTATATAGAGCTGCAATTTCCAAATATAATAACCTTATTTTAATTTTCAACATTTTGAATATATCTTTCCATCATAATTCTAATCATCCTCTATTCTAGAATTTTAAAACTTTTTGATCTTAGGGCCCCCTTCGTACTTTTAAAAATTATTAAGAATCCTACAAGGCTTTTTTTTTATGTGGTTTAGATCCACCAGTATTTACCATATAACAAATTAAAACTGATAACATCTAAAGATTATTTATTTTCAAAACTATGGTAAATCTATTATATGTTAACATATTTTTATGAAAAATAGCTACTTTTCAAAAGAAAAATATTAGTAAGAATGGATGCTTAATATTTTTAAAACCATCTTTAATATTTGTATTAATAAAGGACAGCTGGATAATCATCCCTGCTCCTTCACCCAAGTTGTTGGTGAAAATTGTCTTTGTGGAGGTAAAAGGGGGAAAAATCCATCCTTACACAGGTAGGTTGTTGGAAAAGGGTGAACCTCATGAACCTCCTGAATGGGTCTTATAGAAAGATATACACCTTGAGTACCACTACTCTAAGCAAATATCATTGCAAAATTAGTTTGAAAATTTTTTCATCTGGTAAATATGGAAGATAAGAGAGAGACAATATAGTAGCGATATATGAAGGCTACACAAAATTTTAAAAATATTTTACCTGGGTTAAGTTGTTAAAGAAATGTCTGTTGGGAAAAAGAGAAAACATATTTTAGTAAACAGCCTGTTAAACATTAGTTTAAATATTCTATTTTCAGTATACATGTTTCTAAACCTTTGCATATTCTCTTTATGTTTCATTACAGATATATAAAATTAAAGGCTATATGTAAAAACAAAAATTGCATATGTCTATTTATTTATCATTATTGTTACTGATTCTCATTTGTCATCACAGAGGCTGAATGGCTTAAATCTGCGTGCTTCCTTAATACTGCAAGTTCACATCATCAAAACTTCTTGATTAATCTTCTATAAAATGTTGATACTGTCATTCTACATAAAAAACCCCTACAGTCTTTCATGTTACCATTTATGTCAAACAGAAATTTGTCTTTTAGCATGACAAATCCTTCCCTCACCTGAAAAGAGTAACAGGCTGGGCCTGGTGGCTCACACCTGTAATCACAGCACTTCAGGAGGCCGAGGCAGGAGGACTGCTGAAGCCCAGGAGTTTGAGATCAGCCTGGGACACAGAGTCTCTATTTTTCCTGTCTCTACATTTAATTATAAAATTTTAAAAAAGGAATAATACTCATTTGCATGTTTAGTTGTATGTTTTCTAGAAAGTACCTGCATATTTTTAGCACATGTGATCTCTAAAAGTCAGTACCTCGTGACTATGTCCGCCCATCTGCTGATCATTGCACATTGTCTAGTACATTATCATGCAAAAAACAAAATGCAAATGTTTTGGGGAATCAGCAATGAGTATGCAATAAGTTTCCAAGACCACAGAATGAATATTGCATTTCATGGGTTCAATCTGATATGTTAGAAAGCTGCTGAAACTACTGTAACTACAGTATGACACTACTATAACTCTTCATAGGTAAACTGTGCCCAGAGTTCAACACAGTCCAAGGTTGACTAAAAAGACCCCTGGCTCCAGGCTGGTACACTCTGCCTTCAGTTATGCTTACTAGTCAGAGGCACGGGAAAGAAGAATCGAGTCACTAAGTGAGTTCCCAGCGTATCCAGAAGGAAAATTTGAAGGCAAAAAAAGATACGTGTAGATAATAAAAGAAAGCCTTTGGTATTAACACAGTAACCTTGTAGAGAAGGAAATCAGTATCACTTGACATTAAAGTAACAGCCTTGATTTTCATGGCAAGACAATATTAGCAGCATTCTTCTGGGTCTTTATCAGTTTTCTTGGCTTTCTTGAGTTAAGGCACAGACTGAAGTGTAGAGTTCAGAATAAGAAGAAGAGAAAACCCTGAACTGAACTGGCATTTAAGGTGAGGACAGATGATAAAAAGCCAAAGAAAAAGAAGACTGGGAAGGCCAGGCGTGGTGGCTCATGCCTGTGATCCCAGCACTTTGGGAGGCTGACCTCTCCGAGGTCAGGAGATTGAGACCATCCTGGATAACCCTAAAAATACAAAAAAAAAAAAAAAAAAAAATAGCTGGGCGTGGTGGCTCGTGCCTGTAGTCCCAGCTACACAGGAGGCTAAGGCAGGAGAATTGCTTGAGCCCCGAAGGCAGATGTTGCAGTGAGCAGAGATAGCACCACTGCACTCCAGCCTCAGTGACAGAGTGAGAATCCATCTCAAAAAACTAAAGAAAGAAAACGAAAATGACTGGGAAAAATACTATCATAGAAATAGAACATAGTGGTATTAGTGAAGAAATGAAAGTGTTTCAAAAAGAAAGTGATCCTCAGAATTAAATGTGGTTCAGGGTATTATAGTAAGAGGATCAAAACAATCCCATCGAATTTGACAATTACCTTCAGTGACTTTGCCAAAGCAAGTAGATAGATGGATGGATGGATGCATAGGTAGGTAGATAGATAGATAGATAGAAAATACTAGAATACAGTGATGAAACAGAAAAATGTCACAGTGAACTTGGGAAGGCTAGTTTCAGCACAACTCCATGGATCCTTTGAACTTTTTATTCTCTACTCTAACCCCAGAGATACAGAGACAGAAAAAAGCAAGAGAGTTTGGATGCCAACATGATTCTTGTTCATGAATTCTTTCATGAATTTGTTTCATGAATTCTTGGTTTGGGGGCAGAGTCAATAAGTGTTGAGAGCCAAGAGAAAAAGAGGCAGTGCTTGAAGGCTCCTGTACTCTGCAGTATTTGTCTTGAAATTCTTAACAAATCTATCTTTGAACTTTGGTTTTATCAGTGAAATGTGATGAGACAGTGAAGCCTGCATTGGGGACATGGAATTTTGGCTCCTGTACAGTCCCGCCTCCTGCTGCCTCTCTGCCTCCCTGGGACAGATTATTTGCCCTTGATTCCCCTCCATGCTCTGGCACCTTGGGTCCTGACCAGCCTTCACCTCCTTAACCCGTGTCCCACAAGCTGCTGGGAGCAGCCTGCTGGCGCAGTGGCATAAGTCTAATAGCTGCAAGGTTGCTGGTTCAAATCCCCAGTAGGGCCAGACTTGTCTGGGGCTTAAATGGGGGACCATCTGGAGAGTCCAGGAGCTGGAGGTTATAGGATATTGTGTTTCAGTCACCTGCAAATTTCCCAATCCAACTGAATGGTGCCAGAATCTAATAATGTACAATCTGTCTTGCCTAGGATTGGCTCTCCGTATGGCAGAACTTCTCCATCTAGAAGATCATAGTCAGACTGGGTCCAAGGCTCAAATAGTTAATTAAAGCCCCCTAGGGCATATTCTTATAATGGAGAGTAGGGTGGGGGAGGAGGCCTTGGCCACATGGCCATCCAGCCTTCTTTAGGATTGTTGTGCTCAGAGGTCCCCTCTAGATGTTTACCCTACGAGGGCAGTTTTATAATTAGGCCTATGTTAATTGAACTCTTGCTAGGGAATATTAACACCCATCACCCAAACCTCACTGGCCTAGTTCAGGGACATGCTGGTACGAAGCACTAATCCCAGCAGTCCACATGTCCTTATGGTGGTCAATGGGGACATGTGGACAGTGAGCATGTATGCCATGGCACTGATAAGTGTGATTAAACCCAGCACACAGAAGGCCTCGAAAGATAATCATGCATTTTAGGCACAAGGAAATTACAAGGTGCTGTAACTGAGGGACGCCCCAGGGCTAGCATTTGCAGGAATAACCAGGGATGCAGACATTCCTGTGTTTGATTTCAGATGGGTGCTACTCTTCCCAAGGCAAAATCTCCTTTAAAATCTATCCTGGACAACTGGGACCAATTTGACACACAATCTTTGAAGAAGAAGCGGCTCATTTTTCTCCGCCAAACAGCGTGGCTGTGATACTCTCTGCTGAGTGGAAAAACCTGGCCTCCTAAGGGAAGTATAGATTATAACACCATTCTACAATTAGACCTGTTTTGTAAAAGTGAAGGTGAATGATTTAAGGTCCCCCATGTGCAAATTTTCTTCTCTCTAAGGAATAATGTCAGCTATGTAAGGCCTGTACCCCATACCCTACTAACCCCTCCTCTGGACTTCCCCCACATTTAGGACTCCCTGTGGCTCCTCCCTCCAATGCTAACCAGGCCTCCTCAGCTCCAATAATCCAAAAGGAGTCAGAGAAGGCCTAGATGGCCAAAGCACCTCAGGCTCCTAGGATTCCCCAACTCTGCCCTCTATGGGCAGTAGGAGGAGAATTTGGCCTGACCAAGGGGCACACTGCCTTTTCACTTTCTAACTTAAAGCAAATCAAGGCGGACTTAGGAAAATTTTCCAAAGACCCGGACAAATACATAGATGTTCGTAGATGTTCTGCAGGGCCTGGGTGAGTCCTTTGAATTAGATTGGCAAGATATTATGTTATTGCTTAGTCAGACCCTAACCAGCAATGAGAGAGAGGCTGCTTTAGCAGTGGCTCAAGAATTTGGGGACACATGGTACCTTAGTGAAGTGCACGACCAAATGACGCCAGAGGAGAAGGATAGATTTCCTACAGGCAGATAAGCAGTCCCTAGCACAGACCCTCGCTGGGATCCTGACTCAGAACAGGGGACTGGAGTCGTAGGCACCTATTAGCCTGCATACTTGAGGGATTAAGGCCAACTAGGAAAAAGCCCATGAACTATGCAATGTTATCCACCATAACTCAGGGAAAAGAAGGAAACCCACAGCCTTCCTTAAGCAGTTACAGGAGGCTTTAAGTAGGTATACGCCCCTGTCGTCACACTCCAACGAGGGTCAGTTAATACTAAAGGACAAATTTATTAAGCAGTCAGCAGCAGACATTCAGAGGAAGCTCCAAGAGCTGGCCCTGGGGCCAGAACAGAGTCCAGAATCTTTATAAACCTAGCAAGCTTGGTGTTTTATAATAAAGACCAGGAGGAACGGGCTAAAAGGAGCAGGAGAGACCAGAGAAAAGCCGCAGCCCTAGTCATGGCCTTCAGGCAGGCAGCCCCAAGGGGCTCAGATGAGGGAAGGGCTTGGGTTAGCTGCCAGTCTGGCAGAGCTTGTTTCCACCGTGGCCTAACGGGACCCTTTATAAGAAACTGTCCCCAAAGGACTGGACCACCTCCTCATCCTTGCCCACTGTGCCAAGGGGATCACTGGAAGGCACACTGTCCTTGGGGACGAAGATTCCCAGGGCCTGAGGTGGCTAACCAGATGACCCAACAGCAGGACTGAGGGTGCCTGGGGCAAGTGCTAGCACAAGCCATCACCCTCACAGAGCCCCAGGTAAAGCTGACCATAGACGGCCAGGAAGTTAATCTCCTCCTGGACACTGGCGTGGCCTTCTTTAGTCTCCTGTCCTGGACGGCTGTCCTCCAAGTCTGTAATTGTCCGAGGAGTCCTAGGACAAGCAGTCTCCTGATATTTGTCCCAACCCCTAAGCTGCAACTGGGGAGACATGCTCTTCTCCCATGCCTTCCTCATCATGCCAGAAGTCCCACTCCGTTACTAGGGCAGGACCCATTAGCCAGAGCAGGAACCATTATCTATATGAACATCATCAGGAAGGAAATTCCTCTCTGCTGCCCATTATTTCAAGAAGGGATTAATCCCAAGGTTTGGGCAATGGACAGATAATTTGGACAGGCA